CTTCCTCCTCTCCTTCCTTCTTCCTTCTTCCTCCTCTCCTTCCTTCTTCCTTCTTCCTTCTTCCTCCTTTCCATTCCAGCGTTAACAGCACACGGTGTTCCCAAGCGGTCACCCATCCAAGTACTACCCGTGCCCAGTGATGCTTAACTTAAGTGATCGGACGGGAACTTGTGTTTCCATCACGGCAAGGCCGTTAACCTATATATATATATATATATGTATACTTATTATTTTGTTGTTTAATGACATCTTTTCTTTTGTTTAAAGTCGACACTAAAAAAAAAAAAAAAAAAAAAAAAAAAAAAAAAAATAAAAACAATTTAGTCGATTTTATAAAAGATAAGATAAATTTAATTAGAGATGTTTGTCAAGATGATTTGTTTTGTTGTTTTATGAGGTATTTCTTTATTCAACAATCGGAATATTACAATATAAATTAATATGATTGATAAAAGAGATACGCGTTTTTGTTTTTTGTTAATGTCTTCTTCTTCTTCTTCTTCTTCATTTTCTTTTCTTTCACCTTTTTCTTTCACCAAGCTGTCGTGAGATATGAATGAAGAGTAACACGTCTCGTCGCTGCAAAACGTTTTACGAACGAATATATTTATATTATTTTTAAATACATCGTCGAATAGTTGTCAATAGAGCCGTATAAAGTAGTAGTAGCAGTAATAGTAATAGTAGATTAGTAATAGTAATAGTATTTAATAGTGATAGTTAAAGTATTCGTCGAGACGTGACTCCGTTCGTTGAAAGTAATGGATCAGCGCCGAAAAAAATATAACAGATTAATTTGTTTGTTTTTTTCTCTCTTTTTTTTTTCTTTCACACATTATATTAAAGTATATAATAATAATAACATAACGTATTCGTTTACATAATAATAATAATAATAATATATAGTAATATATAATAATATCGTAACTGCATTTATATCAAATATCGTATTGAGTACGCTGGAACAATCGAAACGTAATCAGCCTCTGTATATATATATATATATATAAGGGGTAGCTATATAAAATTGATTTGGATAAATAGCGCTTAATCCCTCTTATATTTTCTTCTTCTTCTTCTTCTTCTATTTCATTTTCTTTTTTTTTATTCCTTTTCCTTGTTAACATTTGATCATAAGTTCTCCAATTCTTTTTTTTACATCCCCATTTTTCCACCCTTAAGTTTGCTAATATACGAATCGCATTATAATATTTTTGTATTATTATTATTTTTATTATTATATATCTCTAAATATAAGTTCTTATTCGCACGTAGGTCGAGTCTTTCCATTCGAGGATTATACGTCTCGTTGTTCGAGAATAATACATTTGATCAGCCATATTGTCGCAACGCAGTGTTCTCTTTCTCTGCCTCCCACTTACGCACCATGGCCGCCATTTTGTTTTTCTTATTCACGACGACATATCTTTCATTCGTTGAAATTTTTCACGCTGTTGTCTTTTCTTATTCTATTCTTATTATTATTATTTATTTATTTTTGTTCTTTTTAAATGTCTTTTTATCATATTTTTCAAAGACAAGAAAAATTAAGACGAGTTTAAAAATGTATTATTCTTATTAGTAGGCATTATTACACATAGTTCGAATTTTTCTTTACATTCTATAAAAATCCCATCGATCGTCTGTCTTATTTGACTATTTCTTATATTTTTGTAGTTTTTCGTATCTTATTTTTTTTTTACTTTTTTATTTATTTATTTATTTTTTTTTGTTGGTCTAGGCTATATCAAAAGGAGATTACATATTATTATTATAATTATTATTATTATATAAATTATTATACACATTACAAACTATGAGTGTATTTCGTTTGTGGACTATTCCATTTTAAACTCGTCTCACTTTCCTTCTTTTTTTTTTTCTTTTGTCTTATCTATGCTTATGCGTGTGTGTATATGTATATATGTATATATAGTATATATACATGTACGTGAATAATTGCCATTCTTTAACAATAAGTCTTTTTTTATCGGCGAACATGGTGTCGTTAATCCAAACGAATGGCGTGCGATTCAGATGTGTCATCGTCATAAAACTCTTTTTATGAGTGTATAAATCATCACAATCTATGTTTAATGCTGTAAATAATCTCTTAAATTGTCCTTAAGCTTACATAAGAATCTATTCTTACTATCACAACTCCTCAGCACAATTAAAAAATTACAAAAAAAAAAAAAACATCTATAGAATAAAAATCTTGATTTCTGTCTTTTCCCCATTTTAATCGTCTTTCGTAAAATAAAAGAACGAATAAGATAAAATTGATAAAAATTGATAAAAGTTGATATTATTAAAAAAGAAAAGATTCAAATTAAAATCATTAAAATCATTAAAATCATTTTTCTTTTGTTCCTAATATTATTAAATATCTCGAAATTAAAACGTTATTATATTGTTTTTTTTTTTTTTTTTTTTAAGAAAGAAAATAGGAAAAAATAGAAAAATCAATTTTGTTGTTGTTGTTGTTGTTGTTGTTGTTGTTGTATGATTAACTATACATAAAAAAGAAAAAAAGAAAATACCTCTCACATTTTTGGCACACACTTCTTTAAGCAAGAAAGCAATTCTTGCAAGCCTGTGTCGATAACGATACGCGAATTTCTTTTTTATCGACTCACGGTAAATCAAATTTCTTCTTCTTATTTCTTCCTATTTCTTTTTTTTTCTTTTTTTTCTTTTTCTTTTTCTTATTGATTTTAATTACAATCAAATCATTTTCATATAATCATTCTCATCGTCGTTATCATCATTATCATTTTTATACTAATAGAGCACGAACAATCATCACTACCGAATGAGCTACGTACGAATATCGGTACGGATACTATATATATATATATATAGACCGTTTACAATAAATATAAATATATTGTCGATTATATATATCAGAAACCAGAGTATCTCCATCCCCGTAATTTCCGATTGAAACGTACGCGGCTGATGGTCCAGTTTATAAATTGATATATTATGTGTATTTTTTAAGTGTTGAACGATCGTCGTCCATCATATATACACTCTCCACGAACGTGTATATCTTTCTTTTATTTTTTTCATTTGTTTCTTTTTTTTTTCTCTTCACCTTATAACAATTCGAGATTTTGAACGAACTTTTTTATACTAAATATCGCTGCTTTTTATGTTCATGCACTCCTCATCTTCTTGTAACTCATTTTTATCGTCAATTTAGTAATACACATCCATACAAAGTGTTACGCGATACCGCTCCTTCACCTCTCCTCTTATTTATTTATTTATTTACAAGACTAGAGTCTTATTTCAATAATCCTGACAGCCTGCTCGATAAATGTAAAATTATTTTGTTTTTTGTTTGTAATAAATAATTATTTACTTTGAAAGTGAATTTATGATTTAACTTTTTTTTTTAACATAGCACATGTCGTTGTAATTTCATTTTGTTTTTTTTTCAATTACAAAATTAGACAATTTTTTAGGCAACAATGATAATTATTGAAATACAAATTAGTTATTTACTATTGGGGGAGAAAAATCAAGAAATATTTATAACAAAAGTAAAAAAAAGATAAGAAATAAAATAACTTAACGAGCAGGCTGAATGAATTATGTGAGTACGATATAGTAATTGTAATCTTAAATGTTACATATTTAAATCGTCTTACATGTTACGAGATTAGCGCCCACGAGAAATTCTACGATAATGATAATTATTTCGATCAATTTTTTCATTTTTTTTTTCTTTTTTGTTCTTAATTTCTCTCACTCTCTCTCTCTCTCTCTTTTTGTTCTATCATTTTATTCCAACGCAATGATTGTTGTTTTAATTATACGATCAAGCACCGTTTCGTAGAGCACCTTCGGTATAATGATCATTATAAAAAAAAAAAAAAGTTTTCTTAACAAATGCAATTCTATCTCTATTTCTATCTTTCTCTCTCTCTCTCTCTCTTTTCTTCCTCTCTTTTTCTCAATTCCATCGAGATTACTCTGTCGGTAATATACCGACAAGTCACAGACAGTTTAATGATGTTCACATTGCGTTTTTTTTTTTAATTTTATATTTTTTAATTTATATATCCAAAGAGAAGAACAAATTTTGTGTAATCATGGGTATGTTAATGTATGTATGCATGTGTTTGTGTGCGTATGTGTATGTATTTATTCGCATCTTTATTTTACTTCCCTTTTCTCTCTTTCTCTCTTTGTTTATCGAACATCTAGACGCTTAAATATTAAGTAAATTAAGTTTTTTTTTTCTTCATTCCTTAAATCAATCACCCTATTCCGTCATCTTTATCACATTAATCATATTTTTATCATGCATATGATTTTTAACGTGTCTCTCTGTGTTTATCAATTTTAATTATTTTTATTTAATTTTTTATCATCTTATTTTGTTTGATTTGATTTTGTCATCTTTTTTTTTTGTTCTTTGTCGGTAAAGAAGTTTGTTAATGATAATAATAATATATTATTATAATATTAAAAGAAATAATTTATATTGAGACACTATGATTGATGTATTTGAGTTTTCTTATTGAAGAAAGAAACGTAATTCTTGCTGTTATTCTTTGGTTAAGTTTTATGTGTTTCTTCTGTCTTTGCCTCTCTCTCTCTCTCTTTCTCTCTCTCATTTTTCTTTTCTATTTCTTTCTCTCTTTTCTTCTTTTTGTTCTATGTGTTCTAGAAGATTGGGTAATCCTGTTTTTATTTCTTTTTTCTTTCTCTCAATTTTTCTCTTTTCCCGCCTAATGTTGGTTTCAAATTCTTGTATGACTGATTGTCGTACTTATATGAAATTTTTACCTTTGGAATGTCAAACACGCAGGAAATCATTTTACATTTTCCATCTTCTCTTTTCTTCCTTTTTTTTCTTTTTTTATTAATTTTATTCTTTCATTCCTCGACAATTGTTCAGAAACATTTCTTTCATTTTCTTTCTTTCATGGAACTATTTCGAAGTAAAAAATGAAGGAGTTACTTTTTTTTTACAACAAGTTCTAAATATTTCGTAATAAATTCGGGATCTTTTTAAATGTATATACATAAAAAAAAAAAAATTAATCAATCACGCGTATTAAAAAATCTTCTAAAACCGTGTAAATCGTGTCCGTGTCTTTTGATATCTTTTATTTTTTATTGATTAATTGCAAAGAAAAAAAGTTTCACACAGGGGAATTCTCGAAAAGTTTCTAGGCGCGACAAGAACAAACGTATCTAGGGGAATTTTAAAGATCAATCATTACTTTATTTCTCGAGACTCTTTAAGATTTATATTAGGCTTGTTAGTTTAAAAAAAAAAAACTGATCTTAAAAAGTCTCGAGAAAGAATAACAATTGATTTTTAAAATTATCCAGGACATTTTCTCTTTCTTTTTATCCATCTAGGAACTTTCCAAGGTCCTTCCTGTATATAATATATTATAAGCTATCAAATAAGTAACTTCTGTGAAGGCATTGTTCATTTAATTCTATTTTTCATAACCTAAAAAATGATTAGAACACTAACCCGAATTTATCATATGTATGTTTTGGATAAACACCCTGTACGTATATATATATATAATATATTTATAATTATCTATATATTAAACTCATGTCGAAGAGAGTATATAATAAATCAGCAAAATTCGGGTCTCACATAGGCTAAAATTTGCGATAGGCGGATTGTCAAGGAATATATTTCTCGTAATTATATTTTGTTCATCTTATTTTTTAATATCAACTCTCTTCGTTCGTATCATGTCTCATTTCATTAGTTCCATTTCTTTCTTTTTTTTTTTTTTATAACTATTTTGTGTATCTTAATATTTGTATTAATTTTGTCTCCATTTTTAATCACATTTATATTTCACTATTAGAGAGAAAAATCATCTAATGATATTAATTTTAATTACATTCAAACACCATCGGCGTCAATCGTTTTTTTTTCCTTTATGAATTTATTATAAATCCACTTTTCAACCATATTAAAATATAAATATAATTTATCATTTTTTAAATGCCATGCATTGAGCACCATCGTTTCGAAAAATTCGACATAATCATTGAACCCCTTTCCTCAACATCGATAAGAACAATAAAACAAAATGGCTCCCAATGATTATCAAAGTAATATTTTAAACAAAAACTTCCCTAATAACACAAAATATTGAATACATGTGTATTTAATATTAAAAAGAGATTTAATGTCTTTTTAATATTAAATACATATGCATTCAATATTTTTCAATATTTTCTGCTATTAGCGAATTGTTTCATTCGTGGTGCATCGCGAGCGCCATTGTTTGAAAATAATCAACACGATAATCGACCAATAAAAATCAATTTGACTGATATAAAACACAAAATAAAATAATGACGAAAGTTTAGTAATTCATTTTACAAAACAATAAGAAAAAAAAAACACCGAAAAACTAAAGGATAATTTTCTATCCTCGACCGATTCAATCATTCCTATTGGTCTTTCCTTCATCCACCATATTGTTTTTCTAAAATTCCTATATAATATTAGGAATAAAACGTTTGTATCGTCCGGAACTTTGCTCGCCTTTGTCTACGTCATGGCAGAGATCCAGGAACGAGACAACGGAGCCGTCGAATAAAACACACACGGGGTTGAGAACAACGATGGCTTCGTTCTCTCTATCTCTTTGTCTCTCTTTTGATTGAATTGATCTTTTCTCTCTCTCTCTCTCTCTTTCTCTCTCTCCTTTCCCCTTTATTTATCTATTCTTAGTTAGTTTTTTTCACATATTTTCATCTTCAATCTTGTTTCTCTCTATTTTTTTCTAAACTTTTGTAATTCAGCATTAGAGCTCGGAATGATCTCTTTCTCTCTCTCTCTCTCTCTCTCTCTCTTTCTTTCTTTTTATCTCAATCTTTTTCTCTCTATTTCTTTAATTTTTTTTTTTTTTTTTTAAATAGGGAACACGAGCGTATATAGCTACGACGGGTTTCTCGATAATGTTCTAACGTAGGAGGACGAGTGGTACGTAGGAGTTAAAAGAAAAAAGTCCGAACAAGAGAAAAAGAGAAAGAGAGGGAAAGAGAAAGAGAAAGAGAGTGAGATAAAAGTTCGGGTTCGTTATTCTCTCTTCTCTCTTTGTGACTCGTCTTTCATCTCCCCCTTCCACCACTGTCTCCTCCTTCTCCTCCTCCTGCTCTCCTTTCTCCTCCTCGTCCTTTTTTTAAAACCCTTTCCCCCTGTTAGTATCTTAAATCGGTAGGGGATCGTCGTCGCAGCGATGCACAAAGCCATGTTGTTGGGGTCATCCACTTGTATGTTCCGGAAGTAGTATGCTCACCGATTTACGATTCGTATTGGTTGTTCCTGTTGCTGTTGACGTCGTTGTCGTCGTCAACGATGACGATGACGTTGAAGAAGTTGTCATTGTCGTAGTAGTCGTCGTTGTTGTCGTTAAAGTCGTCATCATATTTGGTGCGACTAGGTTGTTTGTCGTTGACATTGACTGAACAACAGCAAGCCCGGACGGAGGTCGATGGGCTGGTGCTACTACACGCACTTCCGGTCTCGGTGAGGCCTCTCTCAATGGACTACCAACGCCAACAAATTCTTCGTTATTAACCAGCATCGATGGCCTGTAGTACACAATAAATGTTTTCAATATGAATGTCTAAGGTTAATTGAGTTCGGTTAACAAAAGTTCAGTTATTATTATTGTTATTATTAATACTATCGATGAATTTAAATGAATTCGTTGAAAAGGTTAAAAATCATAAACGTGGGTGGAAATTTGTCAATGACTGCAGTTGTATAAGGTTAATATTACTTTTACATATGGTTCAATGATCTTAATTGAAAGTTATTTCTATGTATATGTGTGTATGTATTCTGATATTTAAAAAAATAATAAAATACTTGATAAAAATAAAGTTTATATATATATTTTGTTTTCTTTTTTTCTAACAAATTTTTAAAATAAACTTTTCCTAATGTTGGATCATTAAAAGTTTTGAAACTTTCGGGTATAATTTTGTCTATTTGAGGCACACATACACACAAACACACACACACCTATATATAAATATATAATAATAAATTTAGAAATATTTAAAATATATAATGGAAAGATATTATATATGAAAATGTTATTTTAGTCGACTAAAATAACATACGTTATTACTACATTTATATATGACGTCAAAACCCATAACAAGGGAATAGAATAAATAATAAAAATGTCCAACTATTCTTGCCTACCTGTGTTGCGGGGGTGGCGTAGGTGTCCGCGATAACGGAAAACTTGCGACTTCTCTTGTCACTGAAAGCGACCGAATCGATCCAAATGTTTGGTCCGGCGACAAATTGGCCCCAACACTTTGTACCATGCCACTGCTGGAACACGGGACTTAGATTAACCACCCATGATCGTTTTGCTATCAATTTATAATTTCTATTTTTAAAATATCGGGACAGGGGTCAACAATAAAACTGAGTGATTTTTACAATTTCTTTTTTGATTCATTGTTCATTCAGATTAATAAAGAGTTTAATAATAACAAAAGGTTCATATCAATCAATAAAAAATTAATTATAAAAACCACGTACAAATCTTTCGATTCAATCAAAGATATAATTTGTTGTAAATCAAATATATATCAAAAATATTTCGATTATGTTTGAAAATAATATAAAGAATGGTTAGAGGACAATGGCAGATATATATATATATGTTCAATATTTTCTAGGATGTAATATCTTTGTCTCGACGTAGGGGATACACTCTTATAGATCAGGGGTTCTCAAACTTTCCAAATTTTCTATCACGTAAATAAAAATCAAAAGATATATGTGTAGTATTTCATAAATGTATTTTAATTAATAATTAATAGCAAATTATATATATATATATATATATATATATA